AAAAAAAAAAAAAAAAAAAAAAGAGAAGAAAAGAAATTTTCACAAAAACCCTTTCCCCTCAGTTTGGCCATGTATGCGAATCCCAGTTTATTTTTGTGTCTGGGCATAATCCTTAAGAGAAAGAAGTTGATTTACTTTCTTCGGCTGCTCTTCTTCGCGATAAAAGGCCTGTTTTTAAGCTTTTCGTAAGATGGAGAAAACGCATTCAAAATCTCTCATTTTTATTTCCTCTTGTTGATTTTGTTCGATCAAACAAATCGATCTGCTTGATTTTTTGCTTGATTTTTCCCTTGCCTGCTTATTATTCACGCAGAGGCTTTGATATTCCCTTTTCTTTTCTGGTGAATAAAAAACGGACCACTTGCATCATTTTCTTTCTTGGTTACTTCCCTTTTCTTTTCTGCTTGAATAAAAAATAGACACTTGCATCACTTTCTTGGTTACTGTAAAGCCACGTGAAAGTACTGTTACTGGCGCTATCCCCATCACATCATTTCAGACAGAGACAAAGAACAATAGTAAATAAAGTAAAATAAAATAAAAAAGCTCATGGAAGCGGGAGGTTACGACAGAAACTTGAAGAATAGAGACGAAAGAAGAGTCAACCTCCCCAGTCGATAATGTTCCGAGACCTACACTCTGCGCCGTCCCCAGGTAATTCTACCTCCAATTTCGTTTTGAATACATATATATATATATATATATATATATGTATATATGTCGCGTATACACACACATACGCATAAATAATGATAATAATAATAATGATAATAACAGCGTAATATATATATGTAGATATATATATATATGTGGTAATCAATGAATAAATATATACTCGTATGTATATATATATATATATACATGAATAAATATAAATATCGAACCTCAATCGTGAAAGTAGAGCCGGGACGGGAAGGATTGGAGGAAGTTGGTCTGCTGCAAGCCTTCGGGATAGGCATGACCTTTCCTCTGACACTTTTCAGTCTCGAAAAGTCACGAGGCCTTCAAGCCGTGACGTCGTCACATCGCCCGTCGTAGAGCCCTTGCTCCGATCGATGTCATTATCCAGTCCGGCGACGAGCCCCTGCTCTACCGAGCTGACGTCGTTACATCGCCCGTCGTAGAGCCCTTGCTCCGGTCGATGCCATTATCCAGTCCGGCGACGAGCCCCTACTTTGCCGGGCTGACGTCGTTACATCGCCCGTCGTAGAGCCTTTGCTCCGGTCGATGTCATTATCCAGTCCGGCGACGAGCCCCTGCTCTGCCGGGCCGACGTCGTTACATCGCCCGTCGTAGAGCCTTTGCTCCGGCCGATGCCATTATCCAGTCCGGCGACGAGCCCCCGCTCTGCCGGGCTGACGTCGTTACATCGCCCGTCGTAGAGCCTTTGCTCCGGTCGATGTCATTATCCAGTCCGGCGACGAGCCCCTGCTCTGCCGGGCCGACGTCGTTACATCGCCCGTCGTAGAGCCTTTGCTCCGGCCGATGCCATTATCCAGTCCGGCGACGAGCCCCCGCTCTGCCGGGCTGACGTCGTTACATCGCCCGTCGTAGAGCCTTTGCTCCGGTCGATGTCATTATCCAGTCCGGCGACGAGCCCCTGCTCTGCCGGGCCGACGTCGTTACATCGCCCGTCGTAGAGCCTTTGCTCCGGCCGATGCCATTATCCAGTCCGGCGACGAGCCCCCGCTCTGCCGGGCTGACGTCGTTACATCGCCCGTCGTAGAGCCTTTGCTCCGGTCGATGTCATTATCCAGTCCGGCGACGAGCCCCTGCTCTGCCGGGCCGACGTCGTTACATCGCCCGTCGTAGAGCCTTTGCTCCGGCCGATGCCATTATCCAGTCCGGCGACGAGCCCCCGCTCTGCCGGGCTGACGTCGTTACATCGCCCGTCGTAGAGCCTTTGCTCCGGTCGATGTCATTATCCAGTCCGGCGACGAGCCCCTGCTCTGCCGGGCTGACGTCGTTACATCGCCCGTCGTAGAGCCCTTGCTCCGGTCGATGCCATTATCTAGTCCGGCGACGAGCCCCTGCTCTGCCGGGCTGACGTCGTTACATCGCCCGTCGTAGAGCCCTTGCTCCGGTCGATGCCATTATCTAGTCCGGCGACGAGCCCCTGCTCTGTCGGGCTGACGTCGTTACATCGCCCGTCGTAGAGCCCTTGCTCCGGTCGATGCCATTATCTAGTCCGGCGACGAGCCCCTGCTCTGTCGGGCTGACGTCGTTACTTCGCCCGCCGTGGAACCCTTGCTCCGGCGAGGCTGATATCCTTACTTCGCCCGCCGATGAGCCCCTGCTCTACCAGGCCAACGTTATCACTACTATCGTCGCCAGACCTACGCTTCGCCAGGTCGGCACCTACATCTCACCCGTCGACGAGTACCTGCTCTACTGGGCCAACGTTACCACCTCTACTACTGCCGGACCTGCTCTTCGGCCAGGTCGGCACCTACATCTTGTTTGCCAACGAGCCCCTGCTCTGCCGGCTAACGTAATCATTACTCCCACTGCCGTCTTGCCTTCGCTTCGGCCAAATTAATATATTTATCTCTACCGCCAAACAAGCCTTAGCTCCACCAGGCCTATTGACACTTTGCCGGCGCGGCGAGTCCCAGAGAGCAAGCCTCAACTTTGCAGACGAGCACTGTAAGCCGAGCTCATAAACGCCGCATGTAACAGACGAAACGTGAGATACGCCAAATTCCGAGCCAAGCTACTCTCATATCAAATCAACGACGTCCCCCTACATGGGGCCTACCGACTTGAACACCTGGACGGCACGCGCCCATCAATACCAAAAAACTCGGCGTTTCTGCAGAAGTCTTGCCGATAGGTCTAGGCTATTCTCACTCAACGAGTGACGTTATTGTATAGATTATTCGATGAGCCAGGTCAAGAATGTAATTTACCTTTTGCTTTTAGAGGCTAGGTCGTCTTAGGCTTAGATCGAGTCGAAGCGGCATAATTAACGTAAGGAACGAAGTGTTGGCTAGGATCAGTACGATGACCTAGTCGGCACTAGCCGGGCTCAACTAGGAAGCCCGGTCAGGCCAATAATACCACTGAGTCCGAACGCGAGACCGGCCAGGTAAGCTGCCACATAATTATGTGCAGGTCGGGTCAGTACGATGGCCTGGCCGGCACGAGCCGGGCTCGGCAAAGTAGCCCGGTAAGGCCAAAGTCGCCAACGTAAGAAATGAATAGCGAGCTCAAACGCGAAGCTCAGTAAGGCCAGACCGTCGCCCGATTCAACGAGCAAGTCGGACAGGTAACGCGCCAAGTAATTAATAAGTGCCGAGCCCGATCACGAGGCTCGACCAAGTAATAAATTCACGCAAGTCGGGTTCAGTGTGATGGCCCGACCGGTACAAGCCAGGCTCAATCATGTAGCCCGATCAGGCCACAACCGCCAACATAAAAAATGTAATAAATAAGCACCGAGCTCGATCATGAAGCTCGGCCAGGCCAGGCTACCACCCGACCCAATGAGCGGATCGGATGGGTAATGCGCCATCGTAATCATTAGTGCAATAAATTGCACAAACTGGACTCGGCAAAGGGGCCCGATCAGGCCGAAATGCCGTAAAACTAAAGGCGTACGAGCCATCAGGCCGAAATGCCGTAAAACTAAAGGCGTACGAGCCATCAGGCCAAAATGCCGTAAAACTAAAGGCGTACGAGCCATCAGGTCGAAATACCGTAAAACTAAAAGCCTACAAGCCGTAAGGCCGAAGTGCCTGAAACTAAAAACCAAACTGCAAAAACAGTTCGGCCCAACTAAACATGCGACAAGATGCTCTCATTCATCATACATTCATCATACATTCACGCATCCTCATGTGATCGCATTATGCATACAGTCTCGTAAGAAACAAAGAGCTCAAAGCTCACTCAAACAAAGAGCTCCAAGCTCACTCATGTCGACAATTCAAAATGCATTCCTGCATAAAA